CAGAAATAGATTCTTGAGCGGAACCTTCAAATACATCATGAATCAAAGAGGAGAAGAAAAAAGAAATGTGGGTTGCAAATACAAAATTAGCATAAACCAAGAGAACAGACTTTATGTAGAGTGAGGAAGATAAGTATTTCTCTTGAATGGCCATAAAAGTGTCCCCTGGGAGTGCCATGGACACTTTCTTACCATGCCCCTGGCGGTTTCATACTAGGCAGCATGTTTTCATAGTAGGTGGGCATAGTGCCTTGTCCAAAACAACCCAATACATCAGAGTAGAGCTAAGATGGGCCTTCTCAGTCCCTGAGTTTAAGGACTTTGATCACTTAATCGAGTCATGCTGCAGCTCTCAAAGATGACTTGGCTTCCTGCAGGTCCAAAGCACATTACCAGCTTAGTAAGTAATGATACTAAAATGCAAGACAGCTATATGTGCAGTGTCTGTCCCCTGCAGAGTCCCCGTATGACCATAGTAAGTTTCTATTGCTGAGAGATGGAAAGGAGAAATTTTACACAAAAATCAGGATGGGCAGAGCACTGCCCATGTACATTACTTAAGAAAAAAAACCAAACTATTCCTAGTATTTAATATCCAAATGACTTACTACTTGTTTGTCCCCTGAGAAAATATTTTAGTGAAAGCTACATAAATGCTATTCTGGTGATTCTTATATAAAACACCGAATCCCAGTTACCATCTCTTAAAGAACACAAATGTGGAGGCACTTCACCTGGGTGGCAGGCTCACCATTTAACCAAGAGCCCTTGGCCGGGCGTGGTAGCTCACACCTGTAATCCCAGCACTTTGGGAAGCCAAGGCGGAATCACCAAAGGTCAGGCTAGTACACCTTGTTTACAATTCCCAAAGGGAATAGAGCAAACATTGCTCTATACTAAAGGCAAAATAATGAAATCTGATGACAAAACACCATCATAAAATAAAGGTAACATTAACCATTTATTAGGTTCCAGGTGAACTAAAATTTGAGCGAAGGGGTGAATTTACTCTGGGTGTTGGTGGAAGACAAGAATGTTTATAGACTGTTTAGAAAGGAATCTAGTAGTAAATGGTCACTCATTTTTCTGTGTACGTCAGGGAGTTTCATGAGAAAAATCTCCACTAGTGCATTGATATTCTCCCACAGCTGTGGCCAGTAAGTGTGTCATAGTTACTGATGCCAATTTGACAAGAAAGCTGAAGTGAGTCCCAGTGTGGGAGTCTCACCTTCTTAGCAGGCTCCGTCATCTCCACTGTGTAATCTGACCAACTTCAATGTACTTTTTCCCCGCTATAAACACAAAAGTGTTTCCTCTCATCTCTATACTCCTCTAAGAATGTTACCCTTATAATGCTAAGAAAATCTTGGTAGTTATTTGAAACAGAACAATGTAAACAAAAACAATTCTTTTTCAGAATTTAAAAATATGTAGCCACTTAACCCCACAAGGGTTACAATATTTCAGGTGATTTAAAATACAGTAACTTGACTGACTATCCTAATGGTAAAAAGACACTCTAGAGAAATTTATTTTTATTTTTATATTTTTTTGAAATGGAGTCTCAGTCTGTCGCCAGGCTGGAGTGCAGTGGTGCAATCTCAGCTCACTGCAACCTCCGCCTCCCAGGTTCAAGCGATTCTCCTGCCTCAGCCTCCCGAGTAGCTGGGACTATGGACGCGCCACCACACCCAGCTGATTTTTGTATTTTTAGTAGAGACTGGGCTTCACCATCTTGGCCAGGATGGTCTTGATCTTTTGATCTCAGGTGATCAGCCTGCCTCAGCCTCCCAAAGTGCTGGGATTATAGGCGAGAGCCACCACACCCCATCCCACTCCAGAGAAATTGTAAACTGTATTCAATATTTATATTGAATGATTTGGGCATCATTTTTCTGAAACTAAGACATGTAAGGTAAAAACAAGTAATTATGTTAACTTTGCCAGAACCAAGAATTTCAGGGGAAGTAATTAGAGTCACAAATATAAAATCAAAGAGTAAAATTTCTCTGACTTCTATTTCAGTTGGCTATGTCACTATGCCCATATTCTTTTCCTTTAAAAGTGCATATTTTATATTGCCTTGTCCACTAAAAGGGGCAAAGAAATATGGAGCAAGTGTCTTACATGTGTCCGTGTGAAGAGACCACACAACAGGCTTTGTGTGAGCAACATGGCTGTTTATTTCACCCGGGTGCAGGCGGGCTGAGTCCGAAAAGAGAGCAAAGTGTGGTGGATCATCATTAGTTCTTACAGGTTTTGGGATAGGCGGTGGAGTTAAGAGCAATGTTTTGGGGGCAGGGGGTGGATCTCACAAAGTACATTCTCAAGGGTGGGGAGAATTACAAAGAACCTTCTTAAGGGTGGGGGAGATTACAAAGTACATTGATCAGTTAGGGTGGGGCAGAAACAAATCACAATGGTGGAATGTCATCAGTTAAGGCTATTTTCATTTCTGTGGGTCTTCAGTTGCTTCAGGCCATCTGGATGTATATGTACAGGTCACTGGGGATATGATGGCTTAGCTTGGGCTCTGAGGCCTGACAGCAAAGATCATGCCTAGTACTCAGTCTGTGATCTCGCAACATTGTTTCGCACATAAAGTCTTTTTGGAGAAATGACTGTTTCAGATCTGGTTCAGGAAACAGACAAGATGAGCTAGAGCATCTTATTATACCAGAAAATAAAAGAAATCTTTTAAAGATCTCTAGGGTCATGTCAACAGGGTTTAGAAACCAAATTAAAGAGACACCCTCACTCACTAAAGATGGGACAGTTGGGTTCTCAAAAAGGATAATAACTGCCAAGAATTTTTAGGCATCTAATATTGTATCATTCATGGGTTCAAAATGATACTGAAAAAAAGAGCCACCATTGGTCTTTGGTCACATTTAGCAGATGTTAGGGAACTAACTATTCTAAAAACGAGAAAACAGTCAAGCATTTATTGTGCTTTTCCTTTACAAACTATGCTTAGGGATTATCATATAGCTCATGAAGAAAAGTCTTTCTTTATGGCAGCACTCCAGCTACTAAATGAAGAAGGATTAATGTAATGACATCATTTCAGAACTCCTAGTAAAATAATGGATGTAGGCAGTGATCATCAATGACTGCTAAAACTGTTAGATGAGAAACTGATGGGGAACTTTAAAATGATGGAAAGACTAACAAGATTTGACCCAGCAATCAATCTCAACATCCCATAAAGGGAGATAATCAGACATTATGTGCCTCCTGATGAAAGTACACAACCATGAGTCATTCCTGCCAAAAAACTGAAATTTAATCTGATAAATCTTCCAGATCGAACTGCCAGCTTTTAAGAAAACAGAGTATGTTAAATAACACCATGAAGATGCAATTAGTAAAATTCGTAGGAAAAATGACCTGGTTTCTTTAATCTCTTCAACAAACACATTGAAAAGAAAAATATAGAAAGGGAAATCTACAGATTAAAAGAAACAAGAGGGGCTGGCGTGGTGGCTTAAGCCTGTAATCCCAGCACTTTGGGAGGCTGAAGTGGACGGATCCCTTGAGCCCAGGGGTTTGAGACCAACCTGGGCAACATGGCAAAACCCGGTTTCTACAAAAAAATACAAAAATCAGCCAGGCATGGTGGCATGCATCTGTGGTCCCAGCTACTTGGGGGCCTGACGCAGGAGGATTGCTTGATCCCAGAAGATCTAGGCTGCAGTGAGTCAAGATCACACCACTGCACTCCAGTCTGGGTAACAAAGTGACACCCTGTCTTAAAAAAATTTTTTAAAGAAAAAAAACTTAAGAGTTATATCAACCAAACGCAATGTGTATCTATTGATCCTCATTCAAATAAACCAACTGCTGTAAAATACTTTGAGATACTCTTAGAAATTTGAATACACTGAATATTTTATGATATTAAGAAAGTATTAATAATTTAATGTGTGATATTTATGTTTTGATCATGTTTTAAAAGAGCCCTTGGCCGGGCGTGGTGGCTCACACCTGTAATCCCATTACTTTGGGAGGCAGAAGTGGGAATCACTTAATGTCAGGAATTTGAGACCAGCCTGGCCAACATAGTGAAACCCTGCCTCTACTAAAAACACAAAAATTAGCTGGGCGTGGTGGCGCACCTGTAGTCCAAGCTACTCAGGAGGCTGAGGCAGGAGAATTGCTTGAACCTGGGAGGCAGAGGTTGCTATGAGCTGAGACTGTGTCACTGCACTCCAGCCTGGGTGACAAAGTGAGACTCTGTTTCAAATAATAATAATAGTAATAAGCCCATAACTTGCAGAAATACATAGTAAAATATTTTCTAATGACATGATGTGTCAAGTATTTGCTCAAAAAGAACCCAGTTTGGGAGGGAAACAAACATTGGAGGAGGTATTTGTGCAACAATATCAACCATAAGTTAATAATTATTGAACTAAGTAACAAATACATGATAGTTTATCATAGTATTCTCTACTTTTGTATGTGCTTAATAATTTTATAGCAAAGACTGGAAAATACAAAAGCTCTAAAAACCAACGTTATCCATATGTTTACATTACCAAAAGTTAAAATTACATACACATTGTTCTGTTCATGTTTCTGTCCCATTGTCTAAAGATCATTTTATTTATTCTAAATATCTAGAATATTTAGGAGAAAATCTGATAGCATCTCCTTGGCCTCTTTAATGATTAAAAGTAGAATTGAGGTCTCAGTGGACCTAGTGCAGCCATATATTGGACCCTAAAGGAAAAGATAAGTTGGTGCTGCCTTCAATTTGTGAACATAGCTCTTTAAATAAGTGGTAGCTTAAAATAACCTGCCTTTGGGGATCATACTCAGTGCATATAAAATGATGGAACAACAATCCTTAAGCTGCTAGAGCTGGAGTGGGAAGGGGTATCATAGCATAATATAGCAAGTGACATGACGTCAGTGACTTCCACTGTGTGGTACAGGAGAGAGAATTTGTAGGTCTTCTCAAGGTGAAGGATGCTCTTTTTCTGCTCTCCTTACAGAACAGAGTGATCTGTGAGATCTTCCCGCTACTCCCATGTCGGGAGAGAGAGAGAATGAAGACCCATTGCTGTAGAGGAACAAACTGAACGTGTTGAAGGTCCTGCAAGGCCAGTGTGGCTGGAACGCAGACACAACGCCAGGAGGAACAGGAGATGGCGCTGAAAAGAGAGGCAGGAGTCAGATCTCAAGGGAACTGTCACTGCAGGTAAGAGGTTTGGACTTCATCCCACATGACATAAGAAGGCATTGTTGGTGTTTTAAGCTGGCAAGGGCAGTGGCTAGATTTGCCTTTTTAAAAGTTCACTCTGGCTGCCTGAAGTAAAAAGGATCAGAGAAGGGACAAGCATGGAATCATGTCAGAAATGTAATCCTCTCACCAGGCACAATGGTTACCCGGTGGAGGTGGTGGAAATGGAGAGAAGTAGGCAGATATGAGATATAATTTGGAGGTAGCATAAACAGGACTTGTTTTTTGTTTGTTTCTTTTGTTTTTGTTTTTGTTTTTGAAACGGAGTCTCACTCTGTCACCAGGCTGGAATGCAGTGGCACCATCTCGGCTCACTGCAACCTCTGCCTCCTGGGTTCAAGCAATTCTCCCGCCTCAGCCTCCTGAGTAGCTGGGACTACAGGCACATGCCCCCGTGCTCAGTTAATTTTTGTATTTTAGTAGAGACGGTTTCACCCTCTTGGTCAGGATGGTCTCAATCTCATGACCTTGTGATCTGCCCACCTCGGCCTCTCAAAGTGCTGGGATTACAGGCGTGAGCCACCACGCCCAACCAGGACTTGTTGATGTATTGGTTAGGGAGGATTACAGAGAGAAATTTCAATAGTAACTCCCAGAATTTTTCATATTATCAACCAGAAGAAGAGATGCATTTATAACTAAATGAAGACCACAAGAAAAGAGGCATATTTGTGACCAGAGATCAAGAATAAAGTTTTGAGCATATTAAGTTTGAGATGCTGATTAATCTTTCCAGGGGACATCCCAGTGATGATAAACAGAAGTTAGAATGCACATCTGGAGTAAAGAAATATCATCAGGCATTTAGGCCGGGCATGGTGGCTCACACCTGTAATCCCCGCACTTTGGGAGCCCGAGGTGGGCGGATCACATGAGGTCAGGAGTTCAAGACCAGCTTGGCCAACATGGCCAAATGCCAACTCTACTAAAAATACAATTAGCCGGGAGTGGTGACCCATGCCTGTAATGCCAGCTCCTTGGGAGACTGAGGTAGGAGAATTACTGGAACCCTGTTGTGGTGAGCCGAGGTCGTGCTATTGCACTGCAGTGTGGGCAATAGAGCAAGACTCCATCTCAAGAAATGTTGGGGGGGTGGTGGGCGGGGGAAAGAAACATCATCAGGCATTTGCACAAGGTGGAAAGGTGATAGCCTCTAATGTTGATCAAAGCAGGAAGTATTAAAAGACTGGGTGGGGTCATAGGGAGAGAGGCAACTGAAGTTAGAAGCCCCCGGAACTGATAAGACCCACCATGTTGACAGTCTTAGGCTGTGGCCCTCCAAATCCCGTCCGTATACTAGCACATAGAATGCTTCTCTAGTGAGTTCTGTTGTTCCCCAGACATGGAACACCTTCTCAGCTTTCTGAGGAAGCTTTCCTAGGATGAAGTGATTCTTCTGCCATCCTGTAAGTATTATTCTGAGCTTTGAAGACAGGGCTGACCCAGGGGAAGCCCAGGATTGGGACACAGTTGACTAAGATCTTAGGATAGTGTCCAGGGACCAGATACATTTTTTTGTCTTTCTTAAGGAAGCCTCTTATCAAGGTAATTATTGTGAAAAGTAGGAAATGATTTGTGGTACTGCCCAGTAAGCCTCAAATATTGCTGGAAATCATGAATCATATCAAGGTAGGGGCGTGCCATGCCCTCTTTAGAAGTGCAAGTGCCTTCTTCAGCAGGCAGAGATTTTACCCAGAAATTTTACTCTGACACTCTCAAATAAATATTTTTTAGGTTTGGGTTTGGAGTTAAAGCTGCAAACATCATCAGAGTCTCATGGGGTGCCAGAATGAGAAAAGGAGTCCAAGTAAACATCTGTTTTTAATCTTTTCAGTGTTGCAGACCTCTTTGAATACACCATGAGCACTGTGGATTCTCGCCTCTGGAAAATAAAAATCACATACAGAAAAATTCAGACTACTTTTTAAGGAGTTTGAAGAATCCCTGCTAGTCATGGACCCATTTGGGGTTGATGGGTTCCTGACCATGACTCCTTGGATTCGGAAGTCATATAAGATGCAGTTTAACAAACATTGGAAAACAAACGAGCATTCTGAGAGCAAACAGCATCTTCTATATATCATCTTCTAGAATATCTCAGATCTGGATGAGGTCACAGGAATGTCCATTCATAGGGAGCTCTTCCTGGAGCTCAGAGATCATTGAGAGAGGGTAATCATCATGGATGTGTACAAGTGAAGGTAGTTTGAAAAGAAACAAAGTTATCCTTTTTTTCCTTTACTAAAAATCTTAGGGTCCCCATTAGCAGGAAGGAAGGAAGAGGACAGGTGAGCTCCCTGGTATTGATGTATTTAGAGAACCTAGGCATCAGCCATGCATACAGAGGACACTCATTTGGCTGGAATTCGGGCATTGACTTTAATTAAATTCCTTTGCTCCCAATAAGACCTCTCTTAATCTGAAAACAATTTGTCATAAGTGATGTATCTGCCAAGACCTCACGGCAAAGGGGCAGGGGTACCTAGGAAATGTTGCTGGCAAAGTCCAGAGTGATTCTAAAGGGACAGTGGCTTCCTTTGGATGGTCATGTGCTGGACATAGCAATCAGAAGGACAGTCGTGAACACCCAGGAGTGAACCAAGATGCAAAGTTCAAGTCCAAGGGAAGAAGGGTGCAGTGTGGAAGAAGGGAAGGCAGATGCTGCAGCCTACAAGCAAGGTGGGAGCCATTAAGAGCCCCAAGCTGGCCGAGCACTGTGGCACACGCCTGTAATCCTAATCCCAGCACTTTGGGAAGCCAAGGTGGACGGATCACCTGAGGTCGGAAGTTTGAGACCAGCTTGGCCAACATGGAGAAACTCTGTCTCTACTAAAAATACAAAAGTAGCCGGGACTCTGAGGCAGAAGAATTGCTTGAACCCAGGAGGAGGAGGTTGCAGTGAACCAAGATTGTGCCATTGCACTCCAGCCTAGGCAACAAGAGCGAAACTCCATCTCAAAAAAAAAAAGAAAAAAGAAAAAAAAAAGCCATCACAGTCTTTATTCCAATTGACATTCTAGGTAAACCTGCGTACAACTTTTTCTGTGTATTTTCCAACAAAGGATCATTTTATAAAGGCTCAAGTTATTTACAAATACTGTGCATATTCTTGCTGTTTCTCAGTTCTTTAAGAACCATACAAACATATTGCTTGGATTTTCACCAGCCAATATGAATGTGCTCACCTTCCACTGGGTGAGACCACGGAGGCACAACATGCAGCTCAGGGTAAGTTTTACTGAACTTTAATTAATTTTTCGAGATGGAGTCTTGCTGTTTCGCCCAGGTTGGAGTGCAGGGGTGTGATCTCGGCTCACTCCATCTCCCGGGTTCAAGTGATTCTCCAACCTCAGCCTCCCGAGTAGCTGGGATTACTGGCATGTGCCATAACACCCAGCTAATTTTTGTGTTTTTAGTAGAGACTGGGTTTCACCATGTTGGGCAGGCTGACCTCGAACTCCTGACCTCAGGTAATCTGCCTGCCTCGGCCTCCCAAAGTGTTGGGATTACAGGGGTGAGCCACCATGCCTGGCCCAAGAGCTGGTTAATTTAAAAAATAGTTTATAAGTTCTTTAATATATGAGAAAATGGAAACTCAGCCCCAAGGGGAAATGGGATTCTAAGTTTAACTTCCTTAGGCAGGTCCAGTTTTGTGTGGTTTCTGTGGTATGGGTGAGTAGTTATCACACAATTTGATCTCATCAGTCAAACTGATGCAGGAAGACTTTTGTTCACTGTGTTTTATTAATGAAATGAATCCAGAGCTGCTTTTTTGTGCTAAACACTTTAGAGTAAAGACATAATGAAGACAGCCCTTCCTCCTCTTGCCTGAGGGAAGTTAGGAAGACATTCCTTGAGGAATCCATTTAGGGCTTTGGAGACAGGAAAGGTAGCAGGATATGGTAAGAGCGAAAGCATCAGCTCCAATAGGCAATGTCTGGTGTTGTTGAAACTGATGGAAAAAAAGGTTTCCTATACAAAAACCAAGCATTGTTTTATTTTAATGCTCAACCGAGACCCCTTGCTGAGAAAACCAGCCACGTGTGTGATTCTTGAGGAAGGTAGTTCCTCTGAGCCCTGTGTTCGCCAGAGGCCTGGAGGAGTAGGTGTGAAGTAGAGGGTGCTGCCAGCACAAATGCTTTGTCATTTAGAACTGTCCAGGGAGCAGTTATAAAACACACACCTGCAAATTACAAGAGGATGGCAGGGGCTCACATGTGCAGCAAGACATGAAGTGACATCCGTCCTCGGTGTTCCTTTTCTTGGAATGCTCCCATGTAGAACCCTATGTCTCTTTGAACGAACCTCTTTCTGAAGTGCCTGGGGAGCTCTGTCTCCAAGCCCCTACCCTAGGTACTTGCCCCCTCACCCCCACCCCAGTACTGATGACTCATCTTAGTAACTGGAGATATTGAAAGACAAGACCAACTGAGCATTTGGGTGGGAGAGAACATGACTTACATGCTCTGCTAATCTGGGATCACATTCTTCCCTACAAGTCTGAAAGCTAAGTGACAGCCCAAAGTCTCCCTTTTAGCAGCTCAGGAGGGGAAGCACACCAAGAGGCCTCACAACTGTGTGTGGAATCACTGTGTTCTCAGTGAGGGAGAGACAATAGAGAATTTTTAAAGCATTCTCCCCAGATAGTAGAAGTTTTGATTAGTTCTTTCCCAAGACAAGACCAAAAGTTTGTTTAAATCTTGTTGTTTTGTACACACATTCGGGAGAGCAACTTTGAGTGTCTACTACATACTAGGCATTGCACTATGTGTGGGGCAATACAGGGGTGATATGGGGCGGAATAAGGCAACTTGAGTGGCCACTAGGCATACTGCAGAGGTAATTAACCTGCACTTTGACAAGGCTCCCTCCCCTCCACTCCCCTCCCTTTCCCTTCCTTTTCTTTTTTTCTCCCCCCTTGCCCCCCAACCCCAGACGGAATCTCACTCTGTCGCCCAGGCTGGAGTACAGTGGTGTGATCTCAGCTCACTGCAAGCTCCGCCTCCCGGGTTCGTGCCATTCTCCTGCCTCAGCCTCCCGAGTAGCTGGGACGACAGGTGCCCACCACCACACCCGGCTAATTTTTTTTGCATTTCTCGTAGAGATGGGGTTTCACCGTGTTAGCCAGGATGGTCTCAAACTCCTGACCTCATGATCCGCCCACCTCAGCCTCCCAAAGTTCTGGGATTACAGGAGTAAGCCATCATGCCCGGCCCATTACTTTTTTTTTTTTTTTTTTTTTTAAGGCAGAGTCTCTATCTCCCAGTCTGGAGTGCAGTGGCGCGATCTCTGCTCACTGCACCCTCCACCTCTCAGATTCAAGCGATTCTCCTGCCACAGTCTCCCAAGTAGCTGCGATTACAGAAGTACGCCACCATGCTCCGCTAATTTTTGTTATTTTTAGTAGAGACGGGGTTTCACCATGTTGGCCAGGCTGGTCACGGACTCCTGACTTCAAGTGATCCACCCACCTCGGCCTCCCAAAGTGCTGGGAATACAGGCATGAGCCAGCACGCCAGGTCTAATTTTCATTAATATTAATCTCTCTTCTTTTATAAAAGCATTTAAGTTTCTACGTTGTCTTCTGAGGATTCGTTATGCTAGGTTTCAATTTTGATTGCCTCTTTGTTACAAAGTTTGTGGATGTATTTCATAATTTCAAAGTATTAACTTCATCAGTTATTATTTATTATAACTCTATTCTAACTCTATTGGATGATGATAGAAATAAACTCTCCTTTCTTTGTTCCATCAACCTAGAAAATAATTTTTATTATCTATTTGAGAGATTATAGGTTCATAAGTTTCTTTATGTTTTTAATTTTTGTCTGTTACTTATGACTGATTATGAAAGAGCTATATTACAATCTCCCAGTAATATTACACTTGTGTACAGGTCTTTTATTCCTAATAAGTTTCGCCTCATATATTCAGCTGCTATTTTTTGTGTGCACAGAGGTTTATGAGTTATTGTAATTGTCTGGGTTGTCTAAGAAGCAGACACCAAAATAGAAATGAATAGGGAAGAATTGTATTGGGGAAATGCCTAAGAAATAAATTGGAGGAGGAGTTGGGAGTGGCTGGGAGAGCTGTCAGATCATAATGAAGTCTGACCCTTAGAAAAGGAGAGAGACAAGAAAAATAGAGTTGAAGTGTTTTCAACTGCTGCGAAGTCTAAACATTCAGTACTGCTGTCTGGAAGTCCTTGAGCCAAAGCTGGCTGTCCAACAGTCTTGTGTCTTCCAGGAATGGGCCTAACTTACTATGCTATTGCTCTTGTTCATTGCCTGAGAACAGCCTCTGGGAAACCGGGCCCATCACGAATGGGGTGATAGGTTTAGAGGACAGTCGCTGGTGCCCACTGTCGGTGATGCTCCTTGTAGTTGGAAGTCAGGTAGGTGTATTCTAATGACAATCATTTTCACTTACCTTCCTCAAAAATAAACACATTCAAATGTTATTAATGGACTATGTTAGCATTTTCCAGACCTACTAGATCATGGAATCTTTTTTTTTTTTTTTCCCTACAGAACTCATGGAGCACATCCTGAGAAGAGCTTTTCTAGTTGCACATCCGTAGGCATTGCCCTTGGTCATGTCTAGAGCATTTTACTAATGATATCTATGACAACAGAGAAAGCAAGTATGTTGAATTTGTAGCGGTAATATAGAGCAAAAGGGAAAACAATTTCAATCGATTTTCAGAAGTCTGTCTACCTACTCAATTATGTTCCAGTTCTAAAAGGCTCTTTGAAAAGCCTTTCATAAATCCAAAGTAAGAGAGCCTGTTTTTAGTCTGCAGCCTCTGGGCACATTCCTACCAAAATGGACATGGGTCAAGACTTTGAAGCGTTAAAACCAGACACACATTTTCCTAGCTGCTGT